CTTGACTTTGGTCTTTGTGTGCACACCGGCTTCCTCCCACAGTCAGACTCTTAACTGACCGTTGATGTGAGTTGTCCAGGGTGTAACCTGCTCCTCACCCAATGACACGTCCCCCAGAGACCCCTAAAGGATAGATAACAGATGGGTGGATTGGTATGCAGCCTTGGGGGACTACTGAACGATGATGATGATGGAATTTTGTGTGTACAATTAAATAAATGCTTAATAAATATGAAATAAGTGTGTAATTGTTTCAACACTGTGTTTATAACAGAAGCTAACCATCTCAAACCTGAAATGTACTCATTACTCATCAAGGATCTATTTTTGACGATTGAGCTGCTCCCCTCTGTTGAGTGCCTGCGGCTATAATTACATGTGTTCTTGTACAGAATTGATGTGCACCACACACGGCCACAAAATAAATAAATATATTAGTATGCTCATCAGATCTTACATCAAACGTAGAAAATGTAATATTTTGATACTTTTTGAACCATAAAGCACATTGAATAGATAAGACTGCATGAAGAGTAAATGTGGCATCTATTTTTGTCTTTCTACAAGACACTACATCCATTTACCATCCTGTCCTTTTCACCCTTACTTTCTGCATCACCACATACAACATAGGGCACACTACTTAATTCACTGGTACTGAACATTGGCACTGAACATAAATCTCGACCTCTGCAGTTGTCCAATGTGGACGTTATTCCCAGGCCAGACTGTAAATGGTTAGAGGACACTTAAGAGGAGAAAGACTGAGCTGAACAGGGGTAAGGAGACAAAAATATATCTACCGTGTGAGTCTGTTGTGTGTTTGTGATGACAGACATACTGATATTGTCCTTGGCCGATCATCTGCTTGTTCAGCCAAGCCCATTATACGGGTGTCCAGTATGCACACACATTAAGACGTGCAGTGAGGAAAGCGGGTGAAAATAACTAGCTGCTGCCCAGTTGTCATCTGCCATGAGGCATCAGGCAGCTGGAGGGTTCAGGGTGACTTAAATGGTTTAAATTCTCAATAAGTAAAATTAATCCTGCTCTTTATTAAGGTCACTCCATAATTAGCGTTGAATGTCTGTGGGATTATGAGCACAAATCCTCCTCATGCATAAACACACACAGTCCCTCGCTCTTGTGCTGTAGGATGCGATGCAGTCTGATAAATCTTTTGTGTGTTGACAAATGCTATTATATTCCCAGGGTACATTCTAATGTGACAGTCGGATTGCAGTCCCCACGAGCATGAACTTGTTATTGTCCCCATGGCCTAATGCCATTTCAGAGGCTTTTTCTCCCCTTTCAAGAGTAAAACTCCAAGGGAAATGTTGTAATATTTGAAAAATGTGAAAATGAAAATGGCAGCCTTAATTCCAAATGTCAGTAAGAGCATTTAAAGCTTCCCTCAGTTAAAACAAAGACTGGATTTAACTGATGTTAAAGCCTTCAAAACTTTACCCCTGAATCAATGATTTCCTTCCGAACCCCTCTGAACAAGGGCTGAGTGAAAGGTAAAACTCTTAATGATTCTGGGGGCGGTCCAAGCAACACTCCACTTCAAAGTCATTTCACACTTCAAAGTTCAGCTCATGTGGCTGAGGAGGAACTTTATCTAGTCTGAGAAAACAACTCAGATGATGTAATAACGGAAAAGCCAGCATTGCAAACTTTAGGTGTGGAGGGGAAAAATTCACATTTTCCATGGAATGTATATAAAAAAATGATGTAGCGCGTGTTCAGATCGTGAAACCTGTGTCCTCTGAGGGCAGCACCTCTGGTTGCAAATGAAATAATTTTAAGTGTATGAGAAAATGATCCTACTTCATACTTTATTTATAGAGTGAGTAAACATTAACAGGAATGTTAGCCTTATGACTGACAGCTTGTACCGCCCAATGGGTGCAGGCAGCAGGTGAAGGAGGGTGTGCAGTGTCCTTGAGCTTTCAGCCAGGCTCCACCCCTCTCTCCCCGTAATATGGTTACATATGGTTTAAAAAAAACAAGATGGTGCTGGACAAAATGCCAAGCTAAAAGCTTTAAATGGCAGTTCACAAACCAGTGGGTGGCATCCTGGTGTTTTGCCAGACACTTGCACTAATAGTCTGTATCCTTAGCTCCTTGGCTACCAGCTGAACGTAAAGGTTCCTCTAATACCCCAATGTTAATGCCCATTATACTTTTAAATTACATATCATTTAAACCACGAGGGTATACTTCAACTGTATTTTGAGCCTCTGGTGTTTCTGATTTGACCTCAAATTAATATTTGTGTGTTTATTAATGGTTTATTAGTTCTCCGAGCACAACCATCATCACTACCCATGATTCTTTTAAAGCTTCCTCTGTGAGCAGAACCCTCCACCACACAGTAACCGTGCTACATGTCTCGAACTGAACTCAAACTAACTGGACAGTGTGCAACTTTCTCATCCTGCCCTAACAGAGTATCATATGCAAACCACTTCTCCTAAAGCCCAGCTATCTATGTCTTTGATGGACACAGCTTTCATCCAGTGCCACCATTTGACCAGAGTTTGAGCATATCAGAAAATAAGAGGATTCATTTATGCTGTGTTGGCCTTTTTTTTGCGAAGCATTGAAGCTGCAGTTGTTGAGGTTAAATCAAGGCTATAACCCTGTGAAATATAACTCAATTGACTTCAGTTATTTATAAAAGATTTTTAAAAATCCGTTAACTGAAATCATTATACTTATGTTGATATTTTATAGCCAATGACCATCTTTCCTTGCGCTTTTATATCCTGCCTCAGGTATGACTCAAGGCATCCACGGCACTCTACATGGATCAAGTACGAGATGCCGTTTATGTGTGTGTGTATTTTGTGTGTATTGGCATTGCACTTGCACCCGTTGTCTTGCTTGTCCTTGTGTCCAAGCTGTATTTCCTCTCAATGTTCAGGATCATAGCATTATTCCCAAACAGAACGGGGGCGGAGTCATGCTAAAGGTCAACATCAGCCTCCCCTGCGTGTGTTCGTTGTTAGACTCTGCTCCGCGCTGCGGCAGATGTGTTAAGCAGCACATGGCATGGAGTGTGTCTGAGGCTTAATTTGAGATTAACACTCAGGATATTACAGATTACCACACTCCACGTTTGACCTTCTGTGTCTAGTCAGCCCACGATGGATGGATGAGCTTTTATCTTTTAGTAGTTACATAGACTCAATCTGGCTGCTGAGGCCAGCACCTCCAAAGAAAAGCTTCCAAACATGTTGGGTCACCCTGTCAACATGAAAGGAAGGATTTGCACACTGGTATTTCTTCGACTAATTCACAGACATCAAGGCTTAACTCACATCCTAATGAGCCTCAACTTGAGACATTATGCAGAACTGTTTTTGCAGTTTTATCCCTAGTTGAACATATTTCACTTATTGTAAATGGATCCAAAAGTCCACCAGGATATCTGACATAGTTCTGTTTCATATTTATATATTTCTAGGAAATAAGCAGCAAGGAGAACACGTCTCGTTCAAATTCCGTCTTGATCCAAAAACTCTTGACCAAACTCATTGTTTCTTGAGAAACTAGGAATACTCTTTAACCAATGATAGCCTTGCAGCTAACAACCCCCAGCCATTTACTCCTCAACAAAACAGGACGTTTTCTCCACTTCCATAATCTTTTCAAAGTCCTGATACTCATGAAAATGTGGTGCTGATTTTGTTTTTATTTGAAATACTTGTATTAAAGTATACCTTAAGATCCTCCACATTCCTCACACAAACACAGGTGACAGGTTGGTCTGATATATTAGGAGCTTATTCTTGAGTATCCTCTAAGTCAAATTGCAGTTGAGGTACAATAAAAAAGTTAGAAACTAAAGTGTTAAGCCTATACTGAAGTATGAATAATGTTTTCAAAACTCTATAAAATAAAATTCTGTATAGAGAATTAGACTGTATATGGACAGGCTGAATATCTTGCAGTGCATCTCTGTCTCTCTTTCTCTGTCTCTCCCCCTCTCTCACTCACTCACACACACACACACAAACGTGCATCCCTGCTGTCAAGCGAGGGCCAACTGCCAGCTGCCCCCTTACTTCTCTGTCTTCATCCATACTTGATGCGTATCATTAAAACTTGATTGTGGAAACACTTGAGCATTCTGACATTCCCTCTGATCCACTATTTAGCCTCCCTCAGCACTTCCCAGTGGAAGAGCCCTTGCAGTCATGTGTGTGCAGCCTGAGAAAGAGAAACACACCCCAACACAAACACAAGGTTAGAGAAACACACGTCAGCTTAACTCTGGAGCAGCGGTGGATGGGAATGCCTGATTGGTTCACGGAAACCAACAGTAGTCTGGTGCCTCAGAGTGCATTGAGTAAATGACGACAGTTGGTATTTGAGAGTGGGGTAAACAGACGACCGGAGAAGGTTCATTAAACTTTCAGCATGACGATGAACGTGTTGTTGCTTGTTTCTTGAGCTTTTGCCATCTTGCATCCAAGATATTGAACTTTCTCCTCTTCACTGTGACCAGGAAGGTGTCTAAATTTCACCAGCATTTCATGTGTAAGAGCCCAACACCCTGTTCTGTGTCTGAGGCAGTGGATTGAGTTCAGACTAATGGTTGATCAGTGAGTTTGTACTTGAAAGCTACCACGAACGTCAACTTCAAACGAACGGTCACCCTCAAAGTCTGCAATTTTGAAGAGCTTGCCTACTTGTGTGATGTGCAGCTGCTGCAACACCGACACTCAAAATGAACAGCGTGTCTCCATCACTTGAATCCATCTGTGAAAGATGGTTTTTTTTGTGCAGACACACAGGGCCCATCAATCCCGCTGAAAGCCACAGTCACACACATGCAAGCGCACACTCTTCACTGTTTGACCATTTCCCAGTGTAAATATCAAGATCTGCCTGTTGTTTAGTCAATGTGCACATCCGTAGGAAGGTGTGCGAATTAACATACACTCACCAACAAGTGCTAACATGTGTTTAACCCTGTGTTTGCTCCGCAGAGCCCCAGCTGAAGGGCATCGTCACGCGGCTCTACTGCAGACACGGGTTCTACCTCCAGATGCTGCCGGATGGCACCATGGAAGGCACAAAGGACGAAAGCAGCTCCTTCTGTAAGTGAACAGTCACACGCACAGAGGTATTGTCACTTAGTTTGATGAAGGTGTGTGTTTCTTGGCTCAGGCGGCACATGCTACGCTGGGATTTTCCCCATGCTTCCACACCAAGGGACATTTAAAAGGAGACTTCCTGGCAGGACTATCATATATCTGAACATCTCAACAGCACACGATTGCACCGCAACACAGCCACGCTTTCTGGTTTTATTCACACTCTGATCCGTCAGGCAGAAAATGTATGCACACTTGGCAAAGTGCGCTCGGTGAACACCAGCTAAATGGGATTTGTTCGCGTTACGCAATAAATCACGGCAGATCCTTGGCAAGGATGAATCTTCTCAGACACTGTTTTTAATTGTTTTGCTTACAATCAGTCTGACCTTTAAGGTACAAGCTTCATGTGTCTATGAATAACTCGTCTGTGTGAGTGTATTCAGTATAGTCAAGGTGTGTGTGTGTGTGTGTGTGTGCTTTAAATCCTGCCGGATGTATTTTAGTGGCTGTGTGCTCTAAAGCAGCCAGTGGCAGACAATGTTCCCACCATCCCAGCTTATCTCAGACATTAGATGTGAGTACTACATCGTGATTCCTATAGAATTGTTTAACAGTGTACTAATATCACTCTAGGTGTTATTATACCGGAGCCAGCTGGTGTCTTCTGCTGCCCCCTGTAATCTCCATGATCCTGGATAAAAGGTCAAAACAGCTGCCGTGATGTCGCAAAATGGATCTGTTCATTGAATCTAGTACATCAGTGATGTTCTACGTTTAACTGGTAACAGTATCATATATAATGTCCTGACACAGTCCAATCCAATAGTTGTTGAGATAATTCAGTCTGGATTAAAGCGGTGGAGTAACTGACATTGCCTTCCATTGAGTCATGCAGCCAGCTTGCATGGCTAAAGAAGAAGGGTGGTGGCTGGTGGGACGCACACACCTCACCTTGTTAGGGGTCATCACCTGGGTGATTACTGACCAAAAACATCATATCCCATGATACCCCGTGAGTTCTTGGACTCTCTCCAAACCTCCCGGAGAGATCAATAGTGTATTATAGTTTATCCCTGATGTGGCAAGACAGCATTTTTTCTGTCAAAGCCCCAGTTTGGATGGAAAACATGGAGTTAGCACAATTTTGGATTTGCAATCTACAGGACGGTAGGGAAAAAATTCCATTTGGACTCTCAGCTGTGGCTCCCTGTGTAAAGTTGGTTTTTCAGCATTTAAATGAGGTGTCAAAATACTAATAAATACAGCAACAGGAGCACCAGGTAAGAATAACCTGGATTTGACCTTGAGGTGTTCATATTGAGGTTTTCCCTTGGTATTTGTCCTAAGAAAGGAAATTCAGCGGTGTGTTTTGTGTTACTTGAACGCTGGATTATCTAAAATTGAATAAACAGGAAACCAGTCAGTGGCAGTCAGTGGCATGACGGTGTGTCTACAGTCTATGGACCCAGAATCATCTTCTTCTTTGTCCCCAGATAAAGTACAGCAGTGGTTTGCAACTGGGTCAAATCACAGGTCAAAATTGATGCAAGATCACTTTGGTAATTTTATCATTTTTATTTCACCACATCACACTGACACAGATGAAAATGCTGTTCCCCGTCATGGCAAGAACATTTTCTCTTCAGCCATTTATCATATGAACCACAGACGTGAGAGTAAAATAAATTCTGTTTAACTTTATTAGCAACATAGAATATAAAATCTTCACTGCAGATAAACCAAGTAGGAGGAACATAACGTTTTCAAACTTTACTCTGCACCTGAGACTGTTAATAAAAAGCTCTGCACACAACATCCAGCACACAAGCAATAAAAAGTGACAGAATTTTGTAGAACTGTTTGAGGAGCACTCCCTAATGAAAAGGAATAATTCTTAACCACCTCCAGATCATTAGCACAGGACAAGAGAACAGCCCATTCCAACAGGCAGGTTTTGAACGACCATTGCACTCGTGTTCACAAATTGCAAACTTGCAGTTGTGCTTGTGCAAAGTGTACATTTAGATTTGGATGAGTAAATGTTGGGGAAACTTGTAAGAGGAAGCAGGTACATGTCCCCTGGTGTTTTGAATCCACCAACCACATCTGTTTGGTTAAATTAGGCCCACAGCGGCACCATGACCGATCAGACCTGCTCTCTCCTCTCCTGCTTATGTAACAGCACACCTACACTGAGGCAAACATCGCCACACACTGAACTTTAAACAGTCTCTTGTCCAATTTGAAATATTCATCGCATAATACTTCAGGGCAAATCTGAAAGCCAACAGGGCTCATTTCCAGGCGGATGTAAAGACTCCTGTTATGTAAGAGTGTTTCTGGTTTGTCAGGGTATTAAACATCAGTCAGCATGCAGTCAATCCACAAAATAATTACGTGGCTCTTACTTATGGTTCATTTTATTACAACGGTAATTCCATCAATGCCAGTAGGTGGTTTCATCTTGTCCTGGGCTCATTGCTTTGTCAGTGGACAGTGTGAGGGGGAGTTGACAGGCAAGTCCTGTGAAAGTCATAAATCGAGCACATTTTTAAATCACATTTAAATATTTTATTCATTCAAGCGGGAATTGTTGAGTGATTGACATCAGTGTAACTTAGCATCAATCAGCAGCACAATCATATACCTGGCTGCGCAGAACATTGAAAGACTCAGAATTGCTGTGTGAGCGTGTGTGTGTGTGTGTGTGTGTGTGTGTGTGTGTGTGTGTGTGTGTCGCAAGCTGTCAGGCTTATCTTCAGTAGTCTCCCTGGTAACCGTAACTTGCTCTATAATGCAAAGTGGCCTGGAACCAGACTGCTTTCAGTTTCACTCAATTTAAATTTCCCCTTTATTCTCATTTTTTTTATTTTTACAGCCAACGGGATCATGTCTTGATCTAACTGTATCACTAAAGTGGTTCTTAATGTCGTCAAGAAGTCCACTGATAACTTTAAGATGGCTGTACAAACCTCTTTGGGGATCATGGGGCAAAAATGAGCCGCTGGGCCCCAGAAAACGCTGGTTCTTCCTCCTCCTGCCTGTTCTATGTATCACCTCACATTTGCTGGGAGCAATTTTGATTGAATACAAACCAATTTAGGAATATGAGATTTGGAAGCAAACCATCAGCTGTAATGTAGTTCTTGGTCTGAATTGACCGCTGCAGATTAGGTCATTAACATAGAAAGCCTAAAACTAGCCTCAGAAAAAAAGGTAATAATGCTTAGTGCCCTTCAATTTCAATTTTATTTTTATAGCTCCAAATTATAACATACATTTACTCAGGTCACTTTACATTGTAAGGTCAAGAGTTCAAGAGAAACCTCCGACAGAGCTGGACTCAGGGTGGGTGGTTGTATGCTTCAATCAGCTGGGTTTAAAGTTGGGAAATGGGGGAGAGTATTGAGTAGTGAGAGATACCTGCAGAATGAGGACAAGGTGAGAGGAAGTTATGTGAGAGTGGAGACGCAAAGTAAATGGTATGCAGTTGTGTGATATAAATACATGGGGGAGAAAGCGAGACTTCCTACAGAAGTCTAGGCTTGTAGCAGCACAACTGGCTCAGGGCTGACCTGAACCAGCCCTAACTACAAGCGCTATCAGAGAGGAAAGTTTGAAGTGTAACCTTAAATGTAGAGATGGTGTCTGCTTCTGAACACAGCTGGTTCTACGGGGAGAAGAACCTAGTAGCTGAAGGCTCAACAAGTGAGCCTGTATTAAAGGAGCAAAGTGATCTATTGGGATGATAAATAATGTTTTGTGAAACTGCAAAAGTGCAGTAATTGAGCCGCGGCAAGTAAAGACTGGCTGCGGACAGGAAGGTGGAGAACTTTGCGTTCATCCTACCTGGTCTGCAATAAAGCCATGTGTACATTATCAAGTAGATTCCTTCTTTTGATATGCAGTGTTTCTTTCATGAGATAAAACCGAATTTGCCTTGTTACTGTTCATGTGTGGCACTTCTGAATGATTTATAGTGTTTTCGAACAGTGCATGAGGACTATTTCAGAGGTCTGTTAAGAAATCAACACAATCCAAGTCCAAGTCTAAACTCTGTAATTCAGCTTCATATAAAGCATTGCAGCTTTTACTCTGTAGACAAATTGCGTAACAGGAAGTTATTCTATGAATGTTGTTGCCATGATGGAGATTAGCACTGCAACAGCTGTAAATGTCTCTGTCAGTCCGATATGGTGAATAAAAATAATCAAATTATCAAAATAATCTGGCGGGTCACTTTGGCCTGCGGTCTGACTGTTGCCATCACTGTAGGTCATCCAACTCAGTCTGCAGACTGCATGTTGCCCCCACTGCAAAGCACCGTTTGCCTATTCAATGTTTATTAGTATTGAATGTATCGCATGTCCAAATTGCACCAGATGGTCCTTGACTAATACACATCCCAAATTGTAAGCTGATTAGATGAACAATCCTCAAGATATGTTTTCCATATACAGACAAACAGAGATTTATTGGAATTATTAGATAGATCTACCTCCAGGAGGAAGGAAGAAGTATGGATGAACAAAGGGAATGTTTACATCTCGGACCCCTTTGGTCCAGTTTTGTCCTGGCATATCTTTACCAGCCCTGTTCACCTCCTGGTTCTCCTGTCAGTAAGGCTGGACATTGAAGGGCTATAGCTGATGTAGGACATTCGTTGGAAGGAGGTGTGGAAGCCCTGAGGGGATGTAGCAGAACAAAAAGTGACAAGAGCGGCTTTTTGTATGGCCTTGCAATACTTTTAACTTTTTTTTAACCAAGTTCCCTCAGGGCTTCCATAACTAGGCGATAGAGGAAGTTGTCAGGAAGCTGGAAGTGACTGAATATTAAAGCGAAAAGCGACAAAGGGATGGAAACAGAGAATAAGAGGATCAGAGACAAGAAGAGGAAGAGAAAGAGGGCACAGTAGAACATGCCAGAAGAAAAAAAACTGAGCCAGCGAGACAAGATGGGTTGGCAGTGAAAGAGGGAGAGAGAGGGAGCGAGCGGGAGAG